CAATCTAAATCATCAAGCACTTACGAAAGTGATTTAGATTGTTTGTTTTTCAGAATAAATAATAAATTGACACAAACGATTTTTACGTAGAAAAAACCACAATTGGACACCTTCAACTGTGATTAAAAAACCTGTAAAGGGGTTTTAGTAATCAATCCACTACTGAAGAAAGAAAGATTACAAAGACAATCAACAAATTACCAAACGCATCAAATTTGTCTTCAAACCTTCTGTAATTCTTTCGCCACAGCCTTCGTCTCGGAATTGATCAGTATGAAGTTGAATCCACAACTTCTAATGTCGAATCAACGACCACGTACAGTATCAAACTCCTTTAATACTCCACGCTTGAATCCCCGGATTTCACCGAAGAAGAACATTCTTAAATATGAAGTAACAAACTCCTTGATGTATGTACCTTAGATCATAGGTTTTAAACCCTCTCTAATATATCAAGGAAAACTAACAAAAACCTTCAAAAGAAAACCTCAAACGAAACCCTAAGACTCTTAAAGAAGATCTAGGAAAAGTAACCCTAGAATTGGACCAACATGCGAATATATAGAAACAAAGATCGCGCGGTCTGCTCGACCGTGGGAATGGACGCTCGAGCGGGGACTCTATGTCACGTGTTCCAAACCAGGGTTCACACTCAAGCGTACAAACACATCCCTCAGTATTTTTTTGCAGACACACGAAATACTGTGAGTGTATAAGCTCCGCACTAGTGGCCCTTTCCCCGCTCGAGCGGGAAGAACAAAACTGGAAAATTGCAATCTGATTACAACCTTAGTTTTTTGCATGGAATTTGACAACAGGGGTCCTAACAGTCTACATAAATAAACTTGAAGAGGATAACAGGCTACTCACTGCACAAATACAACAATTGAAAGATGAAAATTCTCGATTGCATAACCAATTGGTTGAAAAAGAGGTCCATGAGGTAATTGAAGAAGTTTATGGAGGAAAGAATTCTACCACAAATGCAACGAATATATGCCATACTATAAAAGATGAAAATTCTCAAGTGCTGCAGAAAGATGTTCATGAAAATTCTGAAGTGGTGGACGAAGAGCTCCATCAGAAAGAGGTCCATGAGATAACGCAACGAGCTTTTGCAACAAAAGATTGTCAAAATTCTCAGTTGCAGAATCAGTTAGTGAAGAAAGAGGTCCATGACTTAACCCAACAAGTTTGTGCAACAAAAGTCGATGATTTGACAAAATCAAGACAAACAAATCTGTAGAATTCCTTGATTAAAAAAATCAAAGTAAAGCAAGGAAGACTACTGAGATATCAGATTATGAGTGTGGAGGCAAGAAAGTTAAAGTTGAGAAAGAGAAGGAACATAAAGATGAGACAATTTCTAACCAGTATGCTGTGGCTCAATTGCTACCTCCTGAAGATAAGTATAAATTACAAATTCTTTGGAAACAAAAGCAAACAGAATCAAGGTATAATCTTACATAAATCTTGTAATTTTTCATGTAGTACAAAATATGAAATGAAATTGAGAAATAGCTCTATTTTCTAAAAATATTCTGAATTAATTATTGACACATTTTTTCTTGTTTTGTAGTGCTTGTATATGGTTTTGTGCAAAGATATGACAATTGTGTCTTTATTAATGATATCAAGAGCTTAGTAAAAGGGAACAACATATCTAGCTGTGTACGTATAAAATTTGCAATATTTTAACACTGAAAAACTTCTCATTAATTTATTAACATCACTTTTGTGTTCCAATTTGACAGATAATTAATGCATATGCTGAGATTCTTGAAACAAAACCACAAGCACAGAATTCCGGTGATGTAGCAGAGCACAATGGCAAGTCTTTCGTACTGTCAAGTCTATATCGGGTAAGGAATAAATGTGCATGTGTCAATTCTATACTTTATCTTCCTTTCGATTTCAGTTTCAAAGTTCATTTTTTGTGTTTGTTATCATTGTTGTGAATGTTCCAAAATTTTGAGCTTGGTATCATTGCTGGGAATATACTTAGATTTCGAAACAATTTGAGTGACAAATCGTACTTAATCATGTTTTCTTGCTTTTGATTGAGATTTGAATATTGAGTTTCGTACCATTACTGTGAATATTCTCACTTTTTTTGTAGAAAACAACCAATGTTGAAGAAGAAAACTTCAAAAAAAAGGAAAAAGATTTTGAGAAATACTTTGCAAGAATCCCTCACATGTAGATACATCCATATCCCCATCCACAATTCCAATTAGAGATTACTTGTTATTGACAAACACTTGGGGACTTGGAAAAATTTCAACTCTTAGAGACCAAGAAAAGGAAAGGACAAGTACTACAATGTTACATATCAACCGGTAAGAACAATTTCATATTACCATTACAATAATCAAATGTAAATCATTGCATACTTTTATTGATGTTTTTTACTGCAAAAAATCATCAATGAATACATGAAGGATACACCTTGTCAAGTAGAAAAAGTATGAAATCCTGATGTGAAGATTGAATCAGTCAAAGACAGCCCTCAACAAGAAGCAATGACGTATGTTATGTTTAATATTGTAACTAACAATTTTAATATCTTTTTCAAAAAAATTTGTTTTTTCCCAAACTATGTCAAAAATGATTTCTGTAAGGCTGATTGTGGAATTATTGTTTGCTACATCATAAGACAAAACATAAGGCATCAACCAATTCTAAACACATTACCACCAGGCACATCCACAAGACTGAGAGTAGACATGGTACATGAGTTCCTCAGTGATCCACAAAGATTAATCAGAGTCAAGTATAGTCAAGATTGCAACATTCAATAAATCTTTTTTGATGTGTAACTCAATGAACTCTTTTTTGTCACACTCTGATACAATGACTAATGTTTTTGTTGATAGTTGCAAACATATTACCTCACAAACATATTACAATTTCTATGATGTGTAGTGGAATATTTTGTCATACTCTCAAAGATATATGCACTAGGGTTTTCTTGATGCTTTTATCCATATTTTCAGTTTCCATTATTCTGGTCACCACACTACTATATGGGAAGAGTGAAAATAGTGTTACATGTGAAATTAGTAGACACAAGACTTTACTGTATCACAATCAATGCTTTATTGATGTTTTTGTTTATATTTTCAGTTTTTATGCAGTGTTTTGTTGCCTCACAATATTATCACATTCACTTATTTTGAAATTAAAACTTAAAATTGAGAATATTTTTAGTTTTATACAGTGTTCACTCAATTTTCAAAACAACAATATTGTCAATACAATATATTTGCTGCCTCACAATATTATCACAATTTGAAAAACTAAAATTCAAAACAAATAATATTTTCACTTTCAGCCCACTGTTACTTTATTCAAAACATAGAGCATTGATCACATTTATTTAGAATATAATTCACATTCATTCAATTGATCACATTTATAATTGGTTCCAATTCATAACAAGAGCCTCACACTATTATCACAAAATCAGCTATTTTGAACTAAAAACTTAAACTGAGAATATGTTCACTTTTTATACAATATTCACATAATCTTCAAAACAAACATTCAACAATCAAGTTTATTTACAAAAGCTAACCAAACAAATAATTCACATTAAAAATAAACACAAAGCCAACTAAACAATATTATCACAAACAATTTCAAAACTAAAATTCAAAATTGAGAATATTTTCACTTTCAATTCAATGTTACTTTATTCAAAGCATAGAAAATTTAATTCAACTCTCAACAGTACAAACGGCTACTTCAAGAAATTTATGAATATGAAATTTTTACAATTACAAACCAGCTACAAAAAATCACAAAGCCTCCTTACACGATTTCTTATTATGATTGCCAACCTTCCCACATCTACCACAAGTAATTTGCCTTACTTTTTCACCATTGGAACGAATCCTCTTCTTATTTGGCCTTCCTGGTTGCTTCCTAGACAAAGGAGAAAGAACAACATTACTATCACCATCAACATTACAATTTGGTTTCCAAATTGAAGGAACATGATATATGGGAAAAGAATAGACTCTTAATAACTTTGAACATAAAAGTATTAATCAACAAATAAACTCAAATCATGTTCACTCTTTTGTATAGCACCTGTTGGGAAAAACTACTCACATTACATAATTTCACATTGCATATCGCAAAATTATGAGATGAACAAAACAAACCTTCAATCCCAGGAAAAATAACATGCTGAATAAAATACAGATAAAATATAAAATGGTTAAATGAAGCAAACCGAAGCCTGTGTGATACCACAGTCTCCTTAAAATAGATTCGCCGCCTCACCGTTGGGTGCTGGAGGTACGCCGACGTCTACTTCCCAGGATACGACGATTTTTACCAGCTACAACAGAAGCACCTTCTGATTAGCTTAGCGAACGGACAACGGCAGCACTCCCTCTCAGGAAGAAAAATATAGGAGAAGTAGACTGACAGTGTATGGATGTCAAGGAAAAATTCTATATCTCTTTTCAAGGAATAGGGCCTCCTTTTATACACCATGGGGGAGAGGGGAGGAGCCTCTAGCCATCAAGGCTGGCAACTAATGCTAGCAAAACTGCCCAATCAATTTTGTAAAACTAATGAGCCTTAAATGTGTGAGTTATATACACATTTATGAGGCAATTTCTTATTCAACCATTTTTCTCCAACAATCCCCCACATGAATAAAAATTGACCGAATACAGCAAACGCTCAACGTTTATCAACAAAGACTCGGAAAGAGAGAGAGCACATAGACTAACCCTATATCAGAAAAGGTAGCTGTTGGTCTTGAACCTTTCGTAGTTTAGGATGACCTAAGCGATAG